TTCCTTTGTATTGCCAATTTACCTTATGATCGTCTTGGTTTTAATCAGTTTGAAACTGAATTGTAGTGGATTTTTATTATTTTATTATTATTCATGAGTTAGTTCCTTCTATTTTTGCCCGTAACATGCTAAATGCATAAAAATGTTGTCTTAGCAACCTTCTTCCTTTCTTCCTTTTCAAAGATTCTTGTATATTTGGATTTCGCATTTGTTAATGAGTAATGGTTGATGTTGATTTCTTAAATAGGTTGCAGACAAAATTCGGCGTGATGAACGTGTGAGTGTTGTGGAACGGACAAATTTGAGATATCTTCCTGGACTTCCACAGAAAGTTGACTTGGTGACATTGGACCTTTCATTCATTTCTATACTTTTGGTGAGCTTTTAGATAGTGCTGAAATGATCTTAACTTGCATCTGTATATTTTTCCAAGCTGTTATTTATGGCCATTCTTTGGTCTTCATTTATTGATACAGCCTCAGATTTTCTGCATGCCTTCTAAAAGGCAGTCCATTTCTTTCTTTTATATAGTAGAGCAGTGAAATTTCAATATTCTCTATTATTATTACCATGATTTTATTAATCATTATCTACATTTTTAGTCCTATTAAGGCTATGCTTGGATCATGGATTTGGAAAGAGAATGGAAAACGTGAGGGAGATAAAGAAAAATTTAACTTATATTTCATTCACATTTCTCAAATCTGTGATCCAAACACAGCCTAAAGGTTTTGTTTCATTTTGTTCCTCTGTTCCTAATTTAACCCTAAATGCAGGTCATGCCTGCTGTGGTCAATGTAATGAAGGAAGAAGCTACATTGGTTACTCTGGTTAAACCCCAATTTGAGGCTCGCAGATCTCAAGTAAGAATTCATGCATTTTTTCCATTTTATTTTTTTTAGTGAAATTGCCCTAGGTCTAGGCTGGTTTTCTGTTTTCTGCAATTACTTATATCAAGCTGATGATACTTAAATAAGATTACTCTTGAGCTGGGGTTGAGATTTACCAATTGAAATGGCTTTGTTAAGATCTAATAAAAGGGATCTTTCTTTTGTTCAAAGCCTCTGATAAAGATAGGAACTCATAGGTTAGATTTCCAAGAGGTCCTGCTCAAGCATGGTTTGATACAAATAATAATAAGGCCAATGGGCAGGTCATCACGGAAAACAACAAAAACATGAACAAAGAATAAGCAAGTGTATGCAAGTGTGCTCTTCTACAAAAGAAATAGACCAGAAAGGGCAAAATGAATTTGTGGTTCACCACAAAAAGGAGTGTAGATACTGGTGTGATGTGTAAACTATGAAGCACGGACACGGACACGGACACGGGACACGGTAATTTTTAAAAAATGGGAACACAGACACGGTAGGGGACACGGCGAATTTTATTTTATTTATTTATATATATTTTTATGTGTTATGTTGATTCATATTACATTTATCCTATATCAAAATTAACAAACACTGACATAGTAACATTAATTCAATAAATATAACCACTAAATTTAAACAAATTAATAGATCATCCATTCACAAAAAAGTCATAATAAACGATAACAAGAACTAAGGCCTCGTTTGGGACACATTCTTTTTTAGTAACTTTTTGGCTTTTTAGCTAAAATAAACTAGTATGTTTGGGATGACTTTTTGGCTTTTTACGAAAAGATGTGCAAAAAGTAGAGAGGAAAGAGAATTTTGACTTTTTGGTATGAGTTGTTAGCCTTTTGATTTTTTTAGTGACTTTTTGGCTTTTTTGCTAAAAAAGCCACTTGCCAAACGAGGCCTAAGATGAGAAGGGGAAAACATTCAACATCCAACAATATTATTCACAAAAGTACTAAATAAGAGAGGCAAAAAAAAAAAAAAAAAATATCCCGCCGGGTCCCATGCCGTGTCCCCTACAAAAAAAATCATTAAATTAAAGGGACACGCCATCTGGCATGTCCCGTACGTGTCCTCGTGTCAGACACTGCCACGGCATTGATTTTGGAGTGTCCATGCTTCATAGCGTGTAAACATAGAACAGAGTGCCCTGTGTAAAACTAATTCATTATAGACCAGTCATATATATTGTTTGATGGACTAATAAATTATTTTTGTGCCGCTTTATGTATACCCCTCTTCTATCATAATCATCTTTTTAAAATTATTTATACTGCGACATTAACATTTAGTGCTTACATTTAACCCCATGGATGGGGCTTCCTGGGGGTTTGTAGAGTCTTAAAACATATATCTTAGTTCACACAATTTTTTGGTTCAAATTTCCAAACAAGATTATATGATTCGGAAATCAACTTCTGAACAAAACCTTCTGATTTGGTTGGTTTAAAAGTTGATTTCCAAACCATTTGTTTTCATTCAGAAGTTGATTTCCAAACCATGTAGTTTTATTCGGAAATCAACTTTCGAACGAAAAATGGTGTGAACTGAGAGAGTTGTTTGTGGAAATAGAAGCTCCCTGCATGTGTGAACCTCTGCACTTCTTTAAATGCATGTCTTTTGTGTGCAATCTGAATGTCTTTCTGTGATAGCTTTGTGACAATAAGAAATTTGAATGTGCCAGCTAGTGTAGCTGCTAAACTCTTTTGTTAGTTTTACCGGGGAGTTGGGATTGAATCCCACCTTCGTGTTGTTTGAAGTCTAGGACAGGATGAGTGCTGCACCTTTTGTGTAGCTCATTGCTGTTGGAGTGGAGAGGGAGAAAAAAAGAAAAGAACAGGGTGATTAAAAAATTTTTTTATTTCTTTGTTATGTGTTGCAATACTTAATAATCAATCATATTGCAGTGAAAATTGAATATTCGCCTCTGAAGTAAAAGGACAAAACAACTTTTTAAATATGAATTTATAACATCAATTTCATTGCAGGTGGGAAAAGGTGGAATCATAAGAGATCCCTTAGTCCATCAAGAGGTATGTATATATTTGCCTCTCCTGTTTGATTGTTGTTCTGTTATTTGTTTGGCTGCCATTTGGGAGGTACCTATGATGCTTTTGAATATTTCGTACTCCAGAAACTTCCGCTTTGTGAGCATAATTATTTCATATCACTCGTGGAGTAAAATCATCAGACACAAAGATATATTGCTGTTTTGGCTATAACTGTTTCTTAGCTTTGAAATGGCCTTAACCCAATGCCTCAATGTCGAAGCATAATTAGAATGGCAACAGCACATCTTATGCCATCCACATTCTCATTATGAGTTATCATCATGCTCCCTCCTGAAAGGTGTTATATTTTCTCGTGGCTCCCATGTGATTTCGGATAAAGCAAATCTTGGTTTTCGTTTTCCTTGTGATGGACCTGGAAGAGGGGAACATGTCAGGTATTGGCTTGGGATCACGTCTTCTTAAGGACTATTCTGGATGTACAATGCAATTTTGGTAGTAATATTCCATTTCAGTTGGAAAATGCAGTCAGATGTTTGGGGCAGTATAAGTGATCGGGGAATAGTTGAATTCCCATTTCAAGTTTAACCCAAAATGTATGATGGGTAATAGAGAGAATGTTGAAAGGAAACGGTGAAAGTAAAGAAAGAAGAGAATTCCCATTTCATGTTTCTCCTTTGTTTGCTTGCATTCTAATCTCTTGTGCTTATGCTCCATTTTATTGCTGCAAATTGGGAGACAATTAGGAAAGATGATTCTTTATTGTCAAGGTTTCTATAGTTTTAATTTTTGTTTTGTCGTCTTATCTACCAAGCAAAATGTGATTGGCATATGACTACAGAATAATTTGATTATCGTGAAAGAAGTATATCCTTTTGATCAGAGTTCCATTGCTGTAGGTTCGTGAGAAGATCATCAATGGTGTGGGAAATTATGGGTTCAGCTGCAAAGGGTGGATTGAGTCCCCCTTGAAGGGTGCTGAGGGAAATACCGAATTTCTGGTTTGCTTTGCCCGAACAGCTGACAAAATTGTAAACCAACAATTCACACAGAAAGCAGATAAACATTAGGTAAATTCCAGAACCAGAATGTTATTGGACAAGAATGCAGAAAATCATTTGCAAAACACTTGCATCTAAATACAAAAAGAGCATGGTTATGTGTTATGTATTTTATTTTATTTTCAAATATTCTTTCTGGCAAGAGGTTGTAAAGGAAATGGCTTCTTGTGAATTCTTCAAAGTTCAAATGTAGTTACTTCTTGATGATTATGAAATAATTTATCGAGTTTTCAACTCTTGATAAATTAATTGATATTTCCATTTATAATGCTTGCATATGTTGTGTGAGCATTTTTTGACATTTGGTAAGTGTGAGTCAATGAAAAATTTGGTTTTGTGATTAATGAAAAAATAGTTGATTTACACACACACACACAAAAAAAAAAAAAAAAGAGAAGGAAAAGGTTTCCAGTATAAAGGTGGAAAATGACATAATGAGACATGAGAATCTCACCAATATCATCTACATCGATACAGTGCCACCATCACCAACACAGCGCCATTACCACAACCATCAACATCATTTTTTCAAGGTCGTACTCAGGTTTCACTCAAATACAGAAACTGAAACCATTTTCTGTAAAATAAATACTTTTTATAAAATATTTTTCGTCGAAACAAACTCAACGTAAATACTTTACTTCACAAAGCACTCAGGAAAGGAAATAACTAAGAATTGAAAGTGCCTAGCTGGGAGTGAGAACATGTGATTAAAAGTCATCCAATTGAGAGATTATGGCAAGTGCTGGGGTATAAAAATAAGGAGAGATTACAATTAAGTGAAAAGTGGGATAAATATTTACTAACAGGTGAGAATCTAATTGAGGTGAAACTGTCTTTTTACATGGAAATAATTGCACTCTCCATGTATACGTAATTATTTTTTGTCATGTCCACTAATTTGTAATTTCCCCTAAAAATAATGTTGAAAAATAACTTTACACCAGGTAACTTGTGCACGAGCTTTGATTGAACCTGGCTTTAAGTTGTCGATTATGTTAATCTTTGTGTGACAATCAAGCTGACTTGCTTTTATTCAACCTCAATAGTTGGGGAAAACAATAAATTTAGTATCACAGCAATGTCTGCTTAGCAATTACCAAAGCAAATCCAAATGTGAGCTGAGATATCAAACTAAATTAGTCCTTCCAGAAGGCATAGCCCAATCTCTGCGGGCTGGTGAAAAAAATAAATTAAAAATTGATTAAGTACTCCAGGACCAACACTCAAAGTTAAATGCCAGAGCAGAGGGATGAAATAGACTTTTGGTTCTGTTACAGAATTGCTTTACAATCTTCTTTTAATACGACTAACTGACACTCATGTCCGAAGGATAGTCATCAACTACAACTGACCAGAATCACTCAACATTTCAAATGGAATCCTAAGACGAACCACCTGCCCAACGACTGAGAGCCATGATACAAGATATTTCTCAAATGCCACTCCACCTTTAGCCTGTGAAGCATCAGTTATAAACAGCAGTTTCATCCATTCACTGGTTCCACATGGATGTAGTGTGTGCCATGGCCTGTTCAAGTAGGGGTGCTCCTACAAAGCAAAAAATTCAAGGTTTTGAGTATAAAATCTCAAAATCAGAGAATCAATTATTTACTTTGAATTATAGCATCTGAAACTTCAGTTTTATAATACTGACAAGAAAGGATATACAGTTTTCTCAAAAAAAAAAAAGAAAAAAAAAAGGATATTCAGAAATAGAATTCTAAAATTGACCATCAATGACTGAAACAACTTGGTAGGCTAAGTGCATTTTTTTATGCTTGAATCTCGACAACTACAAGTATACAAAAACTATGACTACCAATGCCTAAAAGACTTAGTTGGGCTATATGGCCAAATTTTTATTACAATGTTATCAATATTACTATCAATAATGTCTCATTGAAAAAGGGTGCAAAACTTATTTTGAAGCACACAAGCTAAAGAAAAAAAAAATGGTGTGCATACAAAGCAAAAGCAAGATGCATCTTATGACCACAATTTAAAGCCATATACCATGGATCATAAAGATGCTAGATTGGGTGCAATAGCAAGAAACAATTTAATTTTGGTGAGAACAAAAACACAGCAAGCCTCATCCAACTTGATTTGCAGCTTATGCTTTTCACTTTGTTATTTATTTATTTATTTTGGGTGAAAAGTAAAAATTATAAATAAAAAGGCACCAAGGGGGTGCCACCAATGTACATGAATGAAGTCAAACAAAATGAAAACAATCGAGCAAGAAGCTATACTCAAAAGGTTCTAAAAACTCTAGAAATTGGTTCAAGGAATGATTAATTCTTGATGCCTTCACTAATTCATTGCATTGGAGCAGGCTCATTATCGATTTCCAGTATACACTACACAAATTTTTTTAGGGTACTTTTATCAGAGTTCTGCAGTATCAACTGCTGTGGGGCAGTCAAAAATAGACAAACAGTGAAATACAATTTTTCAAAATTTCCAATACTTTTGTTGCCATGTAGAATCCTTATTTCTAACAAGCGAAAATCGCCTGCCACAAGAGTGATTCTCCATACTGACAGGACAAGAACCAGTGTCTCTAGAAATCTACAAATACATTTCTTTTCTCTTATAGTCTCAGGTTCATCACCCCCAACTTATAAGGTTTAGAATGCAGAGAAAGTGATGTGCCATGACAATAATTTCATGTCCGCTCAAACTTAAAACTAACATTTGTATGGAACCCCTTTGAACAAAAGAATATAGAAAAGGTAAAAACAAGAAAATATACCTCCTGAGTTATGAATGTCCATTTTGATTCCATCAGCACCTTTGCAGAGTTTGCGGGGAGATCCTTTTCAATGTCATCCAATACTAAAGGTTGTCCATCTATTTCAACAACAGAAACACAAAAATAATGGCATCACAAAATATTGCATAAAAATAAAAAATAAAAATCATCCTGTATGCCAGAGATGACTAAACTTGACAAAGAAAGTTGATACACAAAGGCTTTAACTCGCAGAATAATGCCATACCAACCAAGAAGATAATTCATAAACCAGAAAAGAATGGCAGTACAAAATTATACTAAACCAAAATATTGAATAAGGACACGCCCTCTCTCTCTCTCTCTCACACACACACACACACACAAATGAAGTGAGAGTTTTATGTATACTTAACACGACCTCATGAAAAATGATGCTGTCTATAAATATGGAAACCCATGAACTTCACAAAGTTACAACCATAAATCAAAGGGGCAGCCAAGAACAAATACTGTCCTTTCAATACCAATTCACTGGATGCCAAAAAAAATTGAGTAAAAATTAACTTTTGGTCTCTGCCTACGCTAACTTTTGTTTTGTGCATGACAGTGTCATTATATAAAGGCTGCTTCTTTTAGTTGTAAAAATGATGTGCGACAAGTCAGTATGTGGGACAACTTAACACTTCACATAGTTTATCACTTTTTTCAAGTAGTTCTTAATCCCACATCGAAAAAATAAGAAACCACCATGCTTCCCTATCACACCCTCTACAACAGGCTGTCTCAAGTATCAAGTGACCCATCCTCAAGCTTCCAAATGCCACGTGCAGGCATCAAGTATTATTTTACTAGTTTAAAAAAAAATTCTCTAACCTCCTTGTTAGAATTTATGTATTATTGATTGATATTGTTGATTGATATTGATTGATGAATATTGTTATATATTACAAATGGTGAGTGGCTCATTATATAGGAGAGGGTGAGTGTAGTAGGTGAGGAGTAGGTGGTGGTAGGTGATGGTAAATTCTAACACTCCTTAAATCTGATGGGAAACCACCCTCATTAAGGTGAATTTTAGGCCCTGCCACGCCCCTCTAAGATTCTGGATTTGGTCGGGGCCAAAGTAGAACTCTTCATTCATAACCTATGGCAAGGGAGGCCCATACAAACATGGCCCATTTCCATTCTTGATTTGTTAGTTGCTTTGATTGTTTACTTTATTTAATTTACTTGGATTATTATATTATTGTTTGAGAGATTTCATATTTGGGATTTAACTTGTGAATTAACAGGTGATGAGTAGACGCTGACTTCGGGGAACTTTGGGTGCCTAACCCCTTCTCACCTTGTACCTTAGCCCTCAAATTCCTTTTGGAGTCAAATTAGAGGATATGGTTTTTTTGAAATCTAAAACCAAGTGGAGACACTTCAATTGATCATAGTTTACATTCATGTAACAACATGGGTAATCGGTTTAAGTCATTTGGATTCCTCGTAAGCTTTTTTTGAATTTTTGTGGGCTTTCAGTAACTAAAAGGAATCTATTGACTCATGGGCTTTTTACCTAATTTTGATTACATGGTGTGAACTAGTAGTTAAGTGGGATTTTTTGGAATTGTAGTATCTCGTCACAACCTAAACCACTCAAATTTGGCCCACTTGCATCTAGCTAACAGCTCAGTGCTCCCTAGATGCTAGCATGGCTCACCTAGCTCACCAAATGGTCCATGCACCAGTTATGATATAATGAACTAGACAAAATGAAATGAATACAAGCATATAATTTCTAGAGGCTCATGCTTCTAACATAGTTGGGGCAATTACAGCATGCATCTTGGTTTGAAATGTGAAACAACAAAAGCTACACCAACTGGGGAGACAATGTGGTAGTGATGACATAGATAAAATACACTTGATGGTAATAATAGAAAGGTAAAATAAGTACCAACCATATAAGTAGCTTTATTGGCACTACTCTTATTATACTCATAAGTATTCCTAATAAAAGAATTCCATTTGAAGAAGGGATGTTATTTGTAAGGAAGCTTATATAACAGTTCAAGCAACCACATCAATTTAGTAGTAAAAGCTATATCACATAATTTTAGATGATAACAGTTTGGACATACAACTTCACAATATCATACAATATGTAGTAACGAGGAAGTCGAACAGAAAATTGTCGAGCTAAAGACTGGGCCCCCAAGTGTTCTCCTATCACCTAAGAAGCCCGAGAGAAAAATTGTAATTCTACTCTGAGCAGTAAGCCCTTCTGAAGCACCGAGTCATCAGCCCCCCAAAATCATCCAGACAGCCAGGTGTTTATCTACGCCAACCAATACTACATAATCAAAGGCCCCAAAACCGTGACAACTACACCACATCCCCATAATCCAACTTATGCGGTTACTTTTCAACAAACTTAAGATGAATTCTACTTCTACAATAAAACTACTAAAGCCCAATGTTAATTCTTAGTAAGAACGCATCCCAACCTTTGTTATCATCATCTCTTGATGGAAAACTGCAGATGTTTTCATGATCAACCCAAACGACCAGCCTGCATGAATGCTATAATGTAATGTCATATAAATAAACTATAAGAACAAAAAGTAGCACTTCCCAAAAATCATTCGATGTACAAGGATCATAAAAAATTATGCATCCATAAGAATTTATTACTAAATGTGAACAAGTTGAAGATAAAAAATAAATAAATAAAATAAAATAAAATAGAAAAATCGTTTCCTTTTGTACGAATATGGATCATATGTAATCATTGTGTCTTACAAATTTACATGGTTCGGCACATCGCGCCAATGTTATCATATACAAATGCTCTCGAGTACATTGTTATTGATTCACTTCGATGATGTTTATACATGAGCACCACCTTTATATATGGGTGGAGTACAGTCACAAGGGATTTAAGATAAATATCATAGATTCATAATACACAAATCATGCCAATAATCACGAGATTTGATTAACCCATGAATTGTGAGATTTTAACTCTAATACACATGAGCTAAGAATTAGATATATCTGACTATTAACAATTGCAAGAGACATAATGTCCTTCCACACATCTAAAAAGGTATATCATGTATAATGGAATTGTATAAACATTGGGCCTAATATTCTGCAAATGATATGATTATATAGGGTGGACATACCACTGCGGTATGCGCGGAAATAAAGCACTGGAACCTTATATGACGAGCTGTACACTATGTGAAAATCATAACGATGTACTTCATGATCATAGCTCCGAACCTTGCAAATAGAATGTAATACATCAAAAGAGTATCACCATGTCTGATTGTTAGTAATTTAGTACAACAGATGATAACCGTTTAATATAATACAGCTTTTTGATATTGTTCCCTTGATCAATCTTTGGTAATGCAGTCAACGAGACAAAAGATGTTTCTTGGACATTTATCAGGACTATAATGCATATATAATTCTCTGCTTAAGTGCATGCTAAGGCTTCAATAAGATAAATAAATGTATATATAAAAAAAAAAGGATCTAAATCAAGATATGCATACCAAAATTGCATTATCAATATCATCATCCTGACCAGAGCAACTCAGATCGTCATGTACTGTCTGGCTTTGTTCATCATGCTCTTCCTGTACAAGACAGTTACAGACTGTAGATAAAGATCAAATCAACCATTAGAAAGTGAATGTCGCAGCAAACTATGAAGGCCAGACCTCACCAGACCTTGGAAGAAACACATTCTCTAGCGACAAATATCCTTCTGCCTGTATGTGTGTGTGTGTGTGTGTATATATATATATATATAGAGAGAGAGAGAGAGAGAGAGAGATAAGAATGAAAAATGAGAAATTCAGAGCATGAACTGATTTTGAAGAAGTAACAAAGTGATATGAGTAAAAACTAACTTCATGGGCAGCAATCCAGGGGCATTTTAGACAAGGGACCCATGACCACTGAGAGAGAGTAGTAGAGTTAAACCTCTTCCATTTCTCAGTGAAAGCAAGTGCAGCAGCACAGAAGTCACTCGACGAAAGGGTACCATCCCAAGTCAAGATATCAATCTTTGCTCCATTCGAGACCATCACAGCCTGAAAAAAGTGAAAGCAACGGATTGAAATTGATTGTGTAAAATAAACTTGTCGTTTTGGAAGCTATAGAATGCATAGCAAAATCCCTAACAAAAAACAGAGGATGTTTCGGAAACATTTGAGGCCCAAAACATCTGAAATACAAGTACTCTGGATTGGGTGGTTAACGAAGCTGTTGGAAGTTGAAAGCCGAAAACAACAGCATGATTATTTTTGAGTTTTGGAGCTATTCAACTAAAATAAGTGACAACAACCAATTGAGGGGTTCAGAGTCGAGGATAGAAATCTCTCACACCAGATTGTTTATCTGTCCCCAAACAGGCCTTCCAAGAACAAAACCCAACAAAACAAAATGCCTACCGGACGATCAAAGAAACACACCACAAAGCACAAGATCTGTACACCGTGCTAGCCCGAGCATAAGCTCCAAAAATGTGAGTGTGAACCAACTTTGAATAAATGGAAGTAGCACATCTTCAACCAATCCCAAAGGTTCTTTTTAAGTATCTCTGACAGAACAGAACCCTAGTAGTTTACTAAAATCACAACTAACTAGCCACCAAAAAGAAATCGTATACAGAGCACCACCAATGGAAAGTGCGTGTAAACATAGGAATTGTAGCACGAGACTCACACCAGAATCAGAAATTACAATTCCCAGAGCCAATATACAGAAAATCAATCATCTTGCAAGCAAAGACATATATGTTCAAAATTCTACATGAAAAATTAAAAAAAAAAAACCCAGAAATCATGCCACAAAAGGAAGTGCTCTCAATCTATCTGAAAGCAATTTATAGAGTTATATATATATATATATATATGGATAAGGACAGAGATGCATAATCAAAAAATATACACACAGAAAGGAGAGAAATTTAGAGAAGAGAAATAGAAGCTCTGTGTATTGGGTCTCGTTACCAACCAAGGAATAGAATACGCCGGCGATCGTTGACGGGAAAGGAACGCAAAGAGGCAACCGTCTGTCTAGTTGCTGGAAAAAAATATGGGGTTTTGTTTTTCACCTTCTGAATATCAAAATCTTCTTCAAAAAAATTCTCTTATATCAAAAAAAATAAAAATAAAATTGAAGTTCAAAACCCAACACAACACTACCATCTTATAATTCTGATTTGTGGTACTACAAATATCTCGTCAAAATAGTCATTTTTTTTTGGGGGTTAAATTTTAATTAAAAATTTATTTTTTTATTTTAACTAATTACTTTTTTAAATGCATTCTTTAACCAACTCTTTATTATTGAGTGATCTTTTAGTGGTTTGATATTAAACTAAGGCCTCATGTGGAAATATACTATTTTACTAATTTTTTTTATTTTTTAGTTAAAATATGAGATAAAAAAATTAATATATATTTAGAATGATTTTTTAATTTTTTACGAAAAGAAAAAAAATTAATATATATCTTTAGAATGATTTTTTAATTTTTTACGAAAAGATGTGTAAAAAGTAAATAGAAAATGAAATCTTTGATTTTTTTGTATAAGTTATTGGCTTTTTAATTTTTTTAGTAACTTTTTTACTTTTAAACTAAAACAATGAGTTGCGAAACGAGACCTAAAATAGCTAGTTAAGAATTACGAGTGTATTTCAATAATTTTGTACTACTCCCTACGTCCCAAAATATTAGTCTCTATTCTATTTTTTATTATCCCAAAATATTAATACATTTTCAAAATCAAGTACAAAAATAGTATAAATTTCCTATTTTGATCTTCTTTTAAATTAATTAACAACAAAAAAAAGTAAAATTATGACATTGATATTTTCTAAAAAATGTACTATTAAAGGGTAATTTTGAAAAATTAATTTTTTTTAAGTGTGATATAATTATACTACTAAAAATAGTTAAATCCCTTAAAAAGAATCATTATTTTAAGACGGAAGAAGTATAAATAATTAAGAGTATGCTCTAATGAATTTGATGCTTTAAACTCCTTAGCAAATTGTTGTTAAGAGTTCTTGATGAAAAGATAGCTTGTGCACAGCACAGAACATACTAATGGAAATTTATTGCCCCTTGTATTTCATAGTCAAACATGACCTTAGATATATATTTCCCTTCACTTCCCTTTGTATGTCAATGGCTCTCAACAAGCAAAGATTGCAAATACCCAACACTCCATTGCCTTGCAACACTGCAATTGCTATGAAGGAAAATTTTGTCTGAGTTGTATTAACGAAATAACTTCTCATTCTGCCAAGCTTTAAAGGTGGAGATTTCAAGACTTTTAACTTCAAATCCAACAAACTTGCAAGGGGCAGAGCTTTTCCTCCATGGCAATACACTGGTTTTAGAAAGGCCATGAAAGAAAAGTTATTGCACCAAGGTGCCCAAAAAAGAACCAAAAAAAAAAAAAAAGAACAAAAAAAAATGACAGCTATATTGATCTCAATTGGCCAAATTTAGGGATTGTTTGGGATGACCTAAATAAGTGCACTTTTTGTCTTTTTACGAAAAGATGTGCAGAAAAATAGAGAGGTGATGTGATGAAAAAAAGATAAAAAGATAGATTATTTTGTGTATGCCAAACTTAGCCTTACTTTTTCGGTCTATCTTGCTGAAACGAATTTAAAATTTTATTTTTTTTAAAAAAATCTAATACAAATCACTAAAGACAAAAATAAATCAAAAAAGATTACTTATTTTTGTCTTTTCATATTGTTTTTAGATTTTTTTTTTTTAAAAATTATAATTTTCCAATTCGTCTTGTCGAGCTAAATCTAAAAACCTAATTTTTTTTTTAAAAAGTTCACTAAAAACAAAAATTAGCCAAAAAAAAAAGGGAGAGGCTTTTTTTAGGGTCCCTAGTATTAAGATTTTATGGACATCTGATATTTTCATGATGTCTAAGGTCCCTCAATTTGATTCAGAGAAATTTCATCCAGAGAATTTTTCTCGACTTCCCAGAGAATTTCTGGACTAGAGAAATTCTGAACCAGAGAAATTCTCTATTTCTCTCTAGAGAAATTTCGATTTTGTTGAAAAAATCGCTATGCAAAAAAAATTCAAAGTTAGAACCATAAATGCAATAAGAACAATCAATTTGAAGTTGAAAACACACTTCAACTTAAAAATTCTTGGCCATATTTATGCTCCTCCAGTTCATTATAAACAAAAGAAATTTTTTAAAAATACATTATTCGATCACAAAATCATACATATCCCCCCCCATCAACCATGTAGACACAAAACGCAGTCAAAGGCTCAATTTATGCTTCCACAACAACACCATCTTGGAAAGTATGTTGTTTCGGAGAGCCCTGTGGAGCACCTGTCGAATGCCTTAACCTATCCTTAGTATTCTACACTGACAAGTGGGGATTAGTAATTAGGCTTCGACATGAATTTAATGTTTCTACCGGATTAGGACTGGCATGTTCAAATGCCACTCTATTCCTATGACACCAAGTAGTGTTACATTACATATTTTTCATTAGCTTTGAAAAAATTATTCGTATTTATGCATTTGCTTCATCATGTCAGTAATATTGTCAAAATTATGTCTCTCATCACATCAATAAGAGTTATTATCTACAGTGAACAAGGTAAAGCAATATAAACACAACAGAACATGTAGAATTAAAAGTGCAAATAAGAATGATGTTAGCTTTACCTGTTCCCCTCCTATGGCTCTTGTTGTTTCTTCTTATCACTTTCACTACCACCAGTGAGAGAAACCAGGCTCCCTCAGCACATTTTCTCTGTGTTGGTCTAGAGAAATTCTTTGGTTTAGACTGAATTTTCTTTAGTTTGAACTAAATTTTCTCTGAGTTGGTCCAGAGAAATTCTCTGGTTTAAATTGAATTTTTTCTAGGTTGGTCTAGAGAAATTCTCTAGTTTGGTCTAGAGGAGAAATTTGAACAACCAGAGATATATACCTATCAAATATATAATCATACACTACATCAGTTTATATATACACACACATACATGTGTATATATATATAATCATACTTGTATATACATAATTTATACTTGTAGCGAGTGTATTCCCCAAAACGTATGATTATATACATGTTCTATTCTTGTTATGTAGTTAACCTTCCGTTGAACTAGTGGGCTCTTCATTTGAATTTCCCAGACCTTTTACTAATGATTAATTTAATTACTTGCAGAAGTATCAACCTTATGTCTCAGACCCAAATCTTAGCAGTGCCCTAGCTTCAGTTCTTTGGGAACTCAACCTTCTGTCTAAACATCATCATCCAACTGTTTCAATGCTAGCGTCGACCATTTCAACGTTGAGCAGTGCTCAAAACCAGGTTTATCTTTCCAATATGTTAGCGATTGTCAAAGGAGAAAGTGACGAAGAGGACGTCTTTGGAGTGGCTGACGAAGCGATGAGCAGTGATGTCGGTGGAGAGGTCTGAGAGACGGAGCTCGGAGTCCCAGCTCCCGGAGAGAGCGAACTGGCCGTCGGAAGAGAGGACGACATTTTCGACGAAGTGAGAGTGGCCAGCGAGCTGGACCTAAAAGAGAGAGAGAGAGAGAGAGAAAGAGAGAGAAAAGAGTAGCGAGGAGTGAGAGAGAGAGGAGGGTGTAGACACCCCATTTTTGACCGACCTTAAGACTCAGACGTCACCGATTGAGCGCTTGGTGATGTTGCATATCGTGCTCGTTTAGAGGTTTCAAAGTCTCGGCTGCGAGCCTTGCCTCCGGACTTCCGGACTCTTTCATGCTTTGCCTCGGTTTGCGAACCAGGCTCTGTTTTCTCTGTTTTCTCTTCCCGAAGGGAGGGAGAGGTCTCGTAGATCATCTCTCAGTGGCCGTAGGCTACGTTTCGTGGTCGTAGGCCATTTTGCCCGTTTGGAGTCCGGTTTTCGATTTTTCGGAGCCGTTGGGCGTGTGCCTCGGTTCGGGACCGCTTAACCACCTCCGTTTGCTCCGATTTTTGGCATGCATCTTATTTGCACCCTTTTGAAGGACACTGTGGCTCGAGAGACCAACTTCGTGGTCGAACACCACTTCTGGTGCCTAACAGTCAGTTTTCAGGGCCTCGGGCTGCGCGTTTCGACCCCCGAACCTTCATTTTGCATCGGTTTGGGTTCTTTTTTTGGCAGGGACCTCTGTTTCATTGTTAAGAAGGTCGTAGAAGGGTGAGAGGCCAGCAATTGTTCTGACAACCAGTTTTATTCCTCCATCGCCCTCCATCACCCTTTTTTTCTCACTTAAAAGCCAATGTTGACCACCCTAAGGCCACTTTTTCTTGCCCCAAACCACATATTTGTGTTGTACACATCTGGGAGGCCACCAATATCATATGGCCGGCCAGTAATTATGTGTCCCCCTTTTGAACCCCTCCTAAAAGTGGCCTTTTCTCTCTCCTGGTTCATTCTCTCTAGTTTTTGACCACATGGTTGTGTTGTGCATACATGAGAGGCCCTCTTTTTAGCATGGCCGGCCATTAATCTTCATTGACCCTTTTGACCCTTGGCCCACCGGCCATGGGGAAGGCCGACCGGCCACCTAAACCCTAGGAAACCGGCCGGCCATGATCCTCTCTCCAGGTACTGTACAGAAATGCCCTCTGTTTCCCCCCAGATTTTGTATCCGGGGGGGCCAACTTTTGAGGGGAAACTTGAATTCCATTCCCCCCCTTTTTTCCCCCCTCTTTTGCCTATATATCCAGGCCCTCCAGCTCCCATTAAAAGGGTTAGAAATTTTGGTTTGGAGCTCCTACATTGTATCTCTCTCTCTCTACACTCCAACCCTCAAAACCTCCCAAACCCTACACCATTTCTACACCACCTCATAGCACCACACCCCCATCCTCCATTCCAGCAGCTTGAGGCTGATTTCCAGAGGTGAAGAACTCCCAAAACTTGGCTCAAAGGTTGTTGGAGCATTGGTCTGTCTTCAACATCTTCCTTAGCCAACTTCAATTTCAGCTGCTACAGAAAACAAGATGGAACCACTTCATTACTCCGAGACATTAACATCCTCAACTAATTATTGGGTAAATGATACACATTTCTGTTATGAGAATAGCAAGATTCAAGTACTTTTTTAAGCACAAGTGTGAAAGTTGAAAAACTATGCAGTACATCAAATTCGAATATCTTTCTTGGTACAATGGAGGCCGATACCAAAAACAAAAAACCTAAGCTCCAATAAATGTAAGGAAGCCAACTCCTTGTTTATTGTTAGCCTCTAGTATAGGTCTCTGTGTCACTATATGAAAAGCGTCCTTAGCCAAACAGTCAGCACTCATTTGCCTCTTGCCAAACCACCTGGAGATCACACTGTCAATCTCCAGCCACTATATTCCTAATTCCTCGACAGAAATTCAAGTTTGGAACCACGATTTCAGCAAACTTAATAGCACAAATTGCTTCCATCGAATCAGATTCAACAATAATAAAGAGAAAAACCTTCACTCCAGACCAAATAAAGACCCACCAAGATGGCCTCATAATCCATTCCAAATTCAAAATTTTTACATACAATCAGTGCTACTAGAAAATGCTGATACCCTAGCAAATTAAGTTTTGGAACACATGTTCCGTACGTTTTTCGTTCCAAAATGGTAAATTTAGCGATCCAAAGTGATCCCAAATTTTTTTTCCCAATATATTTTCTTAAAGTTTCCTTGGGACTAAAAATAATCAAATATAATGAACTAACATATAAGGTGAGTAAAGTTTTGACGTGAAAAAATGTCAAAAATGGGCCATAGTGTTTGTAAGAATGCATTGCTACATGATTAATTTGAAAAAAAGAAAAACTACATTTTATTGGAGGTTTAATTGTTGAAACAAATTACTATAGATTAGAAATATCTTAAATTCTTATAGTCTACCCTTGCATATACCGTTCACATTCCCATTCCCATTCCATGTACCAGAACGATACACATTCCAGGTAACATAGCATACAATCATGACTCATGTAAACCTCACAAAAGTAGGATGGGGAGGGGGGCTGGGGACTGGGAGTTGTGTTTTCTACTCTTTCATAAACCAATCTAAACTACATAAGTTATGAATGTCAAAATCAGAAATATAACAGATGAGAGAATATTGCACAGAAGAGGATTTACCAGCCTCCTGGACATGCAACGATCTTCAAAGAATCTGGAAGTGCTCAGCGTCAATGTCAAGGCTTCGATGGAGTTGGGGAGGACGGTGGTTTCATATCTGGGTACTACATCCACACATACAGTCAGTAGCTTGCTTGAATTGTTCAAATGCATAAATTTACACCAACTAAATTATATGTGCAGGGGAAAGCTAATTGATGTGACTCAAAAAAAATATACTCTTCCTAAACACAAGTGGAAAAGTATATATGTACTGCATTTACCAACAATATATAAATCTATTTTCTTCATAAGTACGAACAATATATAATATTTCCTGTGCGAGAGCTTGTGTGCCTGCATTGGGGAGAGAGAGAAGATTGAAAATATTATCATACATTTGGGTAGGGAGACAACGATCTAGAACCATTATTCACATGCTGGGTGGTTTCAATAGCCTTGTTTACGTATCCATTGTCCACCTTTTCGCTTTGGCCCACAGAAGGAGTTGTAGAAGAGGTAGCCTGATTGTTACTCTGCTGGTTCACTCCTCCATTCATTCCAAGCTTTTTTGGCATTTTGACCTTCTTCTTAGGGTAGATATGGACAGAAAGAGGCAGAAGAGTTTCTTGTATTGCCTGCAGGTGGAGAAAAATGGTGTTAAAAACCATTTTTAATGTGCCAAAATGATTTTTTTTTATCTTTTAAAAAAACATTTAACAGATAAATGAGAGCTAGAGGTCAGAGAAGATTTATCACCCAGTATTAGTTTATCACGAAGAATTAGCTTAGATTTTTTCATTACTGGACAGTCAGGGCATGTGTAAACTTCATAATTTGAGAGTGAGAGAGTAGCGCAATCAGCCAATTTTATCAATTAAACCTGCCGTTTTCATGCAGTTACAAGTTGAAGCATCTGAAAATTTGAATACTTTGCAAGAAAAGAAAAGCAGAGAGGAAAAATCTCAGCCCCATCCCAAAATAAATAAATCAGTGTAGGTGTGTTGGAAACAAGTTATAAAAGATTTTAGATTGGGAGATTTTAGCCATTTTTGATAAATTAAAATAGGACAGCTTAACAGAGGCCATTAAAGTCCAAATATGCAAAGCAAAGCCACTTTCAAATCAAAAGCACCAGAAGAATTTCAGAAGAACAACCCCCTTTTGTAAGAAACATTAATATTATTTATGATCAGTGAACTCTAACCACTTTGTGCACTATGCCAAAGGTTAGGTGTGTATCAAATCTTTCCCCTCTCAAACACACATTACTGTGTACTAATTGGGCGTTGTTTTTGTTATCAGTGGACTCTAAAATGTTCCCATTAGTCCATGATGTGCCAGGCATGGCAACTTCGTTAATATTAGTAATTGGGAATGGTTATGGAAAATATGTTGTTCACTGTTCTTGAGTTTTCATTTAACACAGACACTCATGTAAATACATATATATGCATTTATCTTAGCAAAACATGTCAGTGGGAAAACCGTACAAAGTAAATACATAGTAACTCCAAACAAATCAACTATGCAAATATCCAGAAGAAAAGAAAAGAAGACATACTTGCCATCCATTCTCGCCTCTAACCCCACCCCGGATTGCATAAGCTTCTTTGAAACCATTTTTGAACAATAACTCGGCCACTTTCATGGAGTTACCATCAAAACTACCTTACACACAAAAGAAAGAAATTAGTGATTAAATTGCAGTAGTCCTCTCTATATGACGAGAGAGAATATACTTTAGACTCCACAGCAACTCCAATGTCCCATGTAATTATTTAGAGGTGCTGAATGCATATTGCAACCTGGTTTTTTATTCTATTTTTTTAAAGTAAAGATAACTTTCTCATTAAAGGGCACCAACAAAATGGCACATAACCCTACACACATGCCGTATACAGCAAAATAAAAACAAAAATAAATTGAACACAACTTGAAATGGAAGCAACAATATAACCGACAACTAAATCCAGACCATTCTTTTAACATATATCCAAGATACATTGAATAAAAAAGGCAAATGGGCTAATGGTTGACATTCCCCTATCAATTATCTAATATTACTACCATTATTATTTTATATATATCATCATCTGATGTTGAGTAGCTTTTAGGGCATTTGGGTCGGAATGGAATGGGCCGGAATGGAATACCCTTTCCAATTTTGCATTCCCTTTCCCTTGTTTAGTATGCTCTATGTGAGTGGGAATGGTCATTTCATTAGAATAACTATTCCAACAGAAAGTGTGAATTCATTCCTCCAAGTAAGGAATAGGCATTTTATTCCATCAAGGAATTATCCTAAAATAAGTGTATTAGTCTGTCCTCCGTTGGCTACTTCCACCACCCTACCACCACCTCCACTACCGCCTACCACCACCATAGCACCACCACCGCCACTGTCGCCGCCGCCATCTTACCACCACAACTATCATCCTACCATCACCACAACTCTCATCCTACCATCACCACCTATTACTGTCGCGACACCTACCACCACCGCTGCCGCCACCACCACTGCCTAACTACTACCACTATCAATGTCACCCTAACCACCACGACAACACCTTACTAGCAGCGCTACCTTACCACCACCACTAATGCCACAACTACAACCACCACCGCCACAACCCCAACCCCAACCCCACTACCACCACCACACAATACCAAACAATCACTACTACCAATGAAACCGCCATCACATTCACCACCCACACCACCACTTCTACAACTATCAAAACTATCATGATTTACATAAATTTATATTGGTTGTTACTAGTTTGATAATAAATAAATAAAATTGAAAAAAAAAAAAAAAAACTTTTTTCATTCCAAAAAAAAAAACTTATTTCATTCCATTAGTTCAATAAGAATAACCAAATTGTCAGTTTCCTACGTCATTCCATGTTAGCACTCAAATAGTGGAATGGAAATGAGCATTCCATTCCATTCAACTTTCTATACCATTCTTACTCTCATTCCATTCCATTGTATCAAGCACACTCTTAGGTAGTTTTGATTTACTAGTTAGCATTTTATTGCAGCTGTCTTTTATTTTGGGACAAATTATGTAACATTATTGCCATAAAACGCAATCGGAACTTTCACGTAGTATGCAAGTAAACATAACACTCCAAACATCTTTTATATCTATCAGTTCTTAAGCATTTTGTTTCTTATTCTGGGACTTATGGTTCTTTTGAGTCATACAAATTTCTAATTATCAATGGTTTATTGTCAAGCTTGAAGCAACAGAGGCTGAATCTACCAATGTGAATCAAACCCTAATCTTTAACCACCACCATTCTTATCTATGTCCAATTATCTCAAACTAAGCATTTGAGATAGGCACAAACTTAGGATTCATGAATTTCCACTTATTTTAATTCAGTTCATTTAGGATCAATTCAATGGCTAATAAAATAGGAAAAATTTCATGTTACCGTCCTACAGTATAAGGCATGGGCCATGTACACATAACCCTTGTCATCATAGTTGTCAAATCGGGATTCATATAGTGAATCGAAATGGTCTCGTACCGAATCGCGAATCGAATCGAATCGAATCGAATTGTGAATCGTAAAGATTCGGTCATTTCTTCTAAATTATTTAAAAACATATCTACATATTTAGATGTTAGATATATCTTATGAATATAAAATATTTAGACTTAAATTAATAAAAATGTTATTTTGAATGATAATCACGTAGCATAATAAGTAAGAAGTTAACAAACGTTCCTATGTAAGATCACCATCTTACATTTTTTTTCTTTTTTAGATATTTCTTATCAACCATTCTTAATAAAATTAATAATCAAATAGACAAACTATCAATTTCTAAAGTAATAATAATTAACAACAATATTGATATTTGGACAATAAATATACATGCTTTTCTAAGTAACAGTGAGCAAATAATAAGAAAGAATCATTTAGAATCTTTTTTTTTAAAACTTCAAATATTTTAAAAAGTATAACTGACCTCATATATGTAATATTTAATTAAATAAAATAGCAATAGATAATTCATAGTGTAATTTTAATCTTAAACATCTTTAAAAGATATATTACGATTTTTTAAAGGACAAAAAAATGAGAAGAAAGGTTAAAAATATGTCGGGCCCGACTAAATTTGATTGGATTCTATTAAAAACTTCATGATCACTAAAATAACAACAAATCATATATATATGTTTGTTATTTTGGTATTAAACGCTATTAGAAGTTGTATTATGTCATTTTTACTAAAAAGATGGAGGAAAAATAGAGTCGAAAATATGTTTGACACAATAATTTTAAAAATTGCATGAATCGTAAAAAGTGAATCGAATCGTAAATCGATTGCGAATCGTGCGATTCACTAGAGATTCACTTTCAAACTAGATTCACCCTTAGATTTGTATAGATTTTGCAAAAATTGTGAATCGAATCATGAATCGAATCGCGAATCGTAAGATTCTGATAACAAAGCTTGTCATTAAGAAATAACTACTTAACCTTTATGATTTATAAGCAAAAGCACACCACTAACTTCCATTGACGGCACTTGCACATTGACCTAAATACTTCAATTTCTTTCTCTTCCAAACTAAACCTTCACTTTACCCTCCTATGGTTATGTACACATAATTCCTATCATTTGAAAATATAGGCGTGTTTAATGCACTTAATAGTTTGGATCGAATAATTTGGTGAGAAATGATAAAAAATGAAGAGGAAGAGAACATTTTTCTCCTGTTTGATTTATAAGCTAGGTGAGAAATAATGAGAAATATTGAGAAAGATAACTCTCTTATTTTATAAGTCTTGTTTCTCACCAAAAGTGGTGAGATTTGGTGAAAACCAAACTGATTGGTTGTGTATTTTCATAATACTAACTTAAGATTGCCTATTACAAAACAAAGGGGAAAAAAAAAGGAATCTCACCCATATCCCAATATGACATACTTTGCTTTCTTACTCATCCAAACATGATAATAAGAAAACGGAATCATTTCTTTTCTTTTCTCATTTACTCAACCAAATATGATAGTGAGAAAATACAATTATTTCTTATGTTTTCTCATCTAGAAGGGAGATTATAATCATTTCTTTTCTTTTCTCATCATGTGATCCAAATGGAGATTATGTGCAAATGATCAATGCCACATAGGTACAGTGAGACTTACCGTATAAAATATTAGGGTTAATTTCACTTTTATCCTCCAAACTATTGTCAATATTTATTTATTTTTTAAATTTCATCTATAAACAATCAATTTCATCTATTTAGTCTAGTTTAGCTCATATGGTCCAATTAGAGATAACCCAAATCAGTAAAGGTTGGAAACCTAAAAAATAATTTTACAATTTAGACAACCTAAATCATACAATAAAACACCCATCTTCTTCATACCCACACTATATTAGACAACTTATTCCCTACAACCAAACACTCGTTTTCTTCTCCCCCTCATTTTAAAATAGTGAATAAAAAAAAATGATTGTATGGTTGTATAATTTAAGTTGCTCAAACTTATTATAAAAAAAAAAATCTTTTCACCTATCAAATTGGATCACATTTGCTGAAATTAGAACTTTAACAACCAATTTAAGGGACCATCAATTCTTGTCAATTTAGCACACAATGCTGCAATTCTTCAAGTATAAAAAGCAACTCAAATGTAAAAGCTGCAAAACTTACTTGTCCAGAACACAAATTACAGTATTTGCAGGCTCAGTGAACTTCTCCGACACCTTATTCACAAACCCTTCTTCATCTTCTTCACGAAATTCGACCTGCACCACACTCTTATTCACAAATTTCAAATTGGGCGAACCCAAATACTGCAAACTCTTCTTGTCCCTAATATCTAAGAGCTGAGCATTCGGGTGGGCTCGGAGCTTCTGAAATGCATCAATAGCAGAAATAAACTTGTACTTCTGCAAGAATTCTTCTGTCAGGGGAATTACTACCAGCCAAATGAATGTAACCCCAGCAACAAAAAATGGGTTCCTATTGAAAAATTCATCAATAGAAACCAAGATAGACTCCAAGTTAATTTTGTTAGGTACTTCATTGGTGATCACAGAAGTGTCAGAAGCAAAGGAACAAAGAGGTAAAGAGAATCCCATAGAGAGAAAAGAGAGCTGGGATTTTAGAAAAATGGGGAGAAAAGAATGGGTTCTGAGAATTGGAAAGTTGATGTGGAAAAGTTTTGGGAAATGGGTTGTGGGAGTTGGGTTTGATATGTGGGATAGGGGTTGTGGTTGGGGTGAGTGAGGGATTATTTTCTTGGTGGAGAGAAGATGGGTTAGGTGAGAGTTGAAGGAAATGGTAGTAGACATGGAGTTTGGTAGGGAAGGAATGGATATGGAAGAGGTGGGTTTGTGGGTTTTGGGGAGGTTTTGGAAAGCAGGGGAAGATGAAAGGCCTATGGAAAGAGACTCCATGAGAGAAAGAGAGAGAGAGAGAGAGAGAGGAGGATTGCGGTTTTGATAAGGGATGATAAGATATTGGCCCTTTTCTGCAAGGGCCGAAATACAAACAAAAAGGTTTGACCTGGGCCGTCCCTTTTTGATCTGGTTTGTTAACAGGTTACAATAGGCAGGTAGGGTTGTAAAAACGACCCGTGGCCTACCGACGGTTTGGGATAGGTTCTGACCCAAGCCTACATGAACCATCAAAGAAAGTCTTACAAATGAAGACTTGGGCCTATCAAGCCTGCTTTCCTCGATGAAAGCCCACAGAAGGGCCGAAGCACAACAAGAGCCTTACCCATCATCAAAGCAAGCCCAAGTCTATGCAAGAAGGCCCGTTGGATCTGTCCAAATTCAAAGCCCGTCAAAGGTGGCTCCTCACATGATATCATGAAAAGGATCCGAGCCCATATAGCCTCGGCCCGTCCAAATTATGTTCAGCGGTCTAAACCCAAGTAGCTGTGGCCCATGGGACCCGCAACCAGTCAATCATGCTATCCTTACCTTCCAACCAATCGGCCAATCACGCTATCCTTACCTTTCAACCAACCCCTTCGATTCCGCTTCTGAAGCAGTATATAATCTCGGTCCCTTACCTTGATGCCAACAGCTCAATTTGTTTTCCAGTGATGGCAAGAATCCACGAAATACAGCTTTTTCTTTTTCTTCTTCTTGTGTTGTTTCTGAATGGCATCAGAGCTACACGAGGGAAAGCGATGCTGCCCACTCTGCCGCAAAAGGGGCCCGCTTTCTTCCCCCCCAAAATGCCCGTTCCACCATCAGGGCCCAGCAAGCAGCATAATTATGTTCCAAGGCTGCGTTTCATTCCAGCAACAGTAGTCTATGGTTCAAAACACCTTGTTCCATCCGGCGCGAATCCCCTCCACACCAGTATGGTGGAGGTGTTATTTGTATTGCAATAATGAAAAAATGTACGAACACAAATAATGAGCAGACCAGCCCACTTTTATATGTGGGTTATTTTCGTAATGTATTTTTGTTTTGAATAAAGAAGCACGCTCCTGTTAGTGTAACGTAGGTGTCTTTCTCGGTCGATGGATGGGATAAATGCCTATATCGCTTTGTAATGTTATTGTCATGTTGATGCTATATTAAATAATCTAATCTAAACAAGTTGCTCAAGACTTAGTCCCATTCTTTATAATTGTCTTTCTCGTACTGTGTAAACGAACTTCAAGCCTTAATTATGTACTCAACAAGAAGCGTCACAGCCTAGGTTTGGGCCACTTTCGATGTCGATCTGCAGTAATAGTTTTCGAAAGTAGTTTTCCGAGGTAGGTTCTATTTTAACCTAGAGCGATTTGCCTGCTTTTTTCTAGGCTATAGTTTACCTGTATCATGCAAATGTCCAACACTTAGGTGCTTTCTAAGATCATCCTATATGAAAGATGTATGACATGTGTGGCTAATGAATGACTTGCATGGTATGCAATCTGAACGTCCACAGAGTACAAAAGGTAAGACCTAATAAGAGAAATGAGCTTAGCACAACACGATATGGGGGGATAGAAACCTAATCCTAAAAGGAGAAACCCCATCACTGAACAATCATAGGAATAGAAGAAATAGGTTCAGACCAAGTGACAGAACTCTTTATGAGTTGGGCTACATAAAAGATCCTATTCTAAAATGGATGTAGCTTAACTAAAGCCTAATGCAGGTTGAACTCTATGGAATCTAAGCCTCACTACCCTCTTAGAGCGTTACAAGGAATTTTGGGCCTAATGACAAGAGTTTAAAGTATGGGTTAAACCATAGGTGAAAGATAGCCTATACAAGCTAGGCCTAACACAAGGCCCCATATAGATTCAGCTTAGGGGTTTATGAGAGATTGATTGATGGACCTAAGCTAAACTTATAAGATTGAACCTAAACCAAAGCCTATAGACTGAATTAGGAGAGTAGAGGTTTAATCCAAGACCAGGAAAGCAAGCTATATTGAAGCCCAATGCCAAGCAAAGCCCTAGACTACAAGTGAAGAAATTGGGTTCAACTAAGCCCTTAACCCAACATGAGGTGGAGCCTTAACCCGACACAGGGACCCTATTAGGATAGTGGGCTTAGTCAGCCCAACATAGGTCGTCAACCAAAAAGGAGAAGTTCCCGTGATTTAAGGTTTATATCCTACCCTAAGACGAGAGGATTGGGCTTAGAACAAGACCCATCGGTGGATAAGATCACATCTTCATGACAAGAGGTGTACACGTTAGGCCTCACTCAGGGTAATGGGCCAAACCTAACGAGTCCAAACAAATTGGATGTATGACAAAACCACAGATTGGGCTTAATTCAAGGCCCAGAAAAGATGGGTTGAATCCATAAACCGCTCCGTGGGGTCCAATGACTCTCAGAATGGCTTAGAATTGCACACAATTGCTATAACTTGGGTCTAGTCATAATCCTTATGGGCTCAAGTTGTATTGGATCCTAAGTCTCACACATCGAGCTTAATTCAAAGCCCACAACCAATGGAAGAGCCTACAACTTGACCATGCACTTACGCACCAACACTGGGCTCTATTCGAAGGTCTCGACCAATTAGGCTTGTTCTAAAGGTCCTTTTTTTCCCTTTGTAGACGGCTAAGCGCGCTCTTTCTCTTCAACTTGGAAAAAAGCCCTTTCCTTTCCGTCGCTTGACTTCATGTATTGAGTAGGACTCTCACTCCTGGGCTAGCACCCTACACATCCTACATTTACAGTTGACAAGCAAGTTTCCCCAAATTAAGTTTCCGAAAGAGGAAGGGCCTGAGAGATTGGCTACTACTTTCTACTTCTACAAAATGAGGAGATTACTTTTTTACTTATGAAAATAGAGTCAACGCAAGGATGAAATCAAGCTTAGTAGAGTAAACCACTTTATCAGTATAGAGGGCACTCTAATAAACAAAAAAAAGGCTCAAGAGACCTGAACCTGTAGAAAAGAAGATAGTAATCTGGAAAGGCTAATTTGGAAGAATATCAGGTAGGTGATTGATTGTCAAATTCGGATAGAGCTCTACCACCTTCTGCCACTGCATGGACATCTGCCTCGCCCGCTAACCGCTGCTGTTACCCAAGCTTGGAAGTCAATATCGAGCAAGTGAAGTGAAAACTTCTGGGTAGAGCTTTCAAGGATCTCCATTCATTCGCAAGTCACCTTCTTCTCTGTAACACTTAGTCTAGTATCTCGACCAGGTCATCTACTTGAAGCGAAACTGGCACACTTTAGGAAGTTTGAACAGGAAGAAATGCATATAGTAAAAAACCTCCCCGAGCTTGGATTCTAGCTTTGTCCGAGTTGGGCAGAAGCTAGTCCTGCTAAGACGATACACATGTTAATCGAGATAGCTAGAATGAAGACTTGGTTCCTATCTATGGAATATAAAAAAGACTTTCCACACCATATGGATGAGCGATCTTACTCATATTCACTGATACGGGAATTTCAAGCAAACAAACTGATCCTGTTGGATGAGCAATGTGGTTAATAATTACAGAGCACGCGCATAGAAGCGAGGGGAGTTGGACGGGGATATAGGTTTAAATATCCTCACCGACCGACTGATTCACGGCTTGTCGGATGAGTTCAATGCGTACTATTTTATTCCAAGAGCCAATGTTCGAATACTAGACGCTACTGAGTCTCGACGCTGGCCAGAACTCAGGCGCATGCCCTCTCTTGAATGCCATTCTCCATCGAAAACCTGTCCTTAAGGAGGGTACTGCCACTGGTTTGTAGCTACTTTCTCTGAACGAGCTCTTTACTAAGAAAAAGGGCAAAGGCCAAAAGCAGGCCTACTTAGATGGGTATAGAGGGAGCAGTAGATCGTCGATTGAAGAGCCAGCAGGTCAAACTTATTCGTAGAAAGCGGGTTACCGGTAGATGGCACTTAAGAGCGCAAATGGCCAGATGTGCAGGATCCCATGGAAGAAATTAACCTCTTGGACTGAAAAAAGGTTCCTTTCGTGTAACGCGTTGTCCATTCGGCCAGAAAGAAGAAGTGCCGCCCGCTAACTCGGCTCATTCTTCGAGCTGGAAAGGGGGCCAAAGAGGAGAAAGCTTGCTGACTCAAGAACTCATTCGTCCTTGAGCTTCAACTTGCTGACTTGGTTCCTTAAAACCTATATCTCCGACTTGGTCTGCTCTCATTGCCTTGAAGTAGGTGTTTCGCTTTGGTGCTATCCTTCCCTTTGACTCCGATCTCCTCTTTCCTGCTCCATATAGATCCGGTTTTGAGGGCGAAGTTAGCTTTCTCATCCACCGGGCAAGCGGGTTCCACGGGTTAGGAGGCTGCCTTTAAGTGATAGGGGGGCCCTCATTTCATGTAACGCAAAGGAAAGCAGTGGCCGTTCACTCACTCAAGTAAGGGATGCAATGAAACCGCGGAACTGAAAGCATATATCCAGAATAGGGGGAAAAAGAAACAGTTTCGGACCCCGGGGCATATACCTAGAAGGCATCTACTAATGTATTAGCACCGGACGTAGATCGTTTCATTCCCATCTCCTCCGGCCACTAAAGCCTTAAACCACGATCTCTCTTATCCATCCGATCGGTGAAGAGGTGCTTTACTCATTTAGGGGGAGTACCACTTATGCCCGAAAGAGATAGAAGTCCTCGCTAAATGATAGAAGGAGTTTGATGCTCTCCTATGCTAGGTTCGACCGCTGTTAATAAGAGGAGTGACTTCCTTTCCTCGCTGGAACCGGCTGATCAATCTATTCATTCTATTCAGTCCATTCAGTACTGTCTAGTCCCTTTTCGGATATCGGGTGGTCGAAGGGAGGTGAACTAGAGGTTCTTCAAAGGATGGCATATTGCAGCTATCTCTATCGGAAGGCAACCATCAGAAGTTTCATAGAAGAAAAGGTGGAGGAATGAACTCTCATTTATTCGAATCCCTCCCAATCCAAGAACTGCCCTAAAGGTAAGCTTGATAAGTCGAATGTGAGGGATTGAAATACCCGTCTTCGAACCACAGCTTACAACATAGGGCCTCCGCTGATCATGAGACGTGATCAGCTCTACCTG